CATATTCTCCAAGTTCTGACTTGAATGCTGGTGCAGCTTTTCTTGATAATCTCTTCTACGACACCTGAGTAGAAACACTTTGATCATTCTCCTCAGGACTCAGGATTTTAATGATCTGTTTAATGCCTTTCTCTTCCACCCTAGTGAACTACTCAAGTTCTAATACCTTGTCTTATTCATCTCTACACCTCATAGCCCACACTGTTCCTGGCATATAGAGATGCTTAGTTAATAATTGCAGAATCAAATGAAAGAGTCAAGGTGATGTGTTGCGGAGTGAGGAGAACTTGGGCTTTGGACTGGTGGAAGGAGATGTCATCGTATACATTTTTTAGATTGAAATTTTGCCCTGTATATGCATTTAAAAATTAAAAACCTAGTTGAATAAAAGGGGGGCGGGTGGGGAGCCAGGGGCCAAATCTATCAATAAAATAAATTTGAATTTTTTTTTAACAAATGACAATTAAAACTCATATGTTCATGGAAAAAATTAAGTTCCTGTTTTAGTTTTTCCCTAAATGATTTTGCCGTATCACATAACAGCAGTCTTGTCAATCAAGACTGATTTCAAGTGGTGAAATGGAATTTTTTAATTCCCTGGAGAGAGAAATATTTACCTAGTTAAGCTTTATGTTATCGTGGTGTTTTTATTTGTCTAGTGACCTCTTCTTATTGAAAGACTAGTTAAGAGAAACCCTTTAGCACTGACTTTTTCAAATTTACCGTAATGTAATGACCTCTTTGAAAGGAGAAGTACAGAGTGTATTTTTCATAATGTTACTTAAATTCTGTAGACATGAAACTAGATATAAAACCCTTATGTTCTTGGCTCATACACCACTATAAACCAAATCTGCAAATTAAATACAAAGACAACTACAAAAAAAAAAAAAACAAAATTCAAATGAATACATTTATTCCATGTGACAGATGATGTTTAGGTTTCTCAGTAGAAAAAAATAGCTTTAGGTCTAATTCCATTTTAAATCTGTTTCTGTATTTTAACTTCAGTGATAATAAAAGCTGTGAGTAGTGCCTCTTCTCATCAGTAATGTTATGCAGGAGGGTATTAATGACTTCAAGGCCTTGTTGGTAAGTTCGGGAGGAGACATCATACCTAACCAAAACACCTGCCAGCAAGCATTCCTCAAATACAGGCTTATAAGTTTTACTGAGATGTCATCCATTTTGTTCATTGGAAGATAAGGTTAATATTTTGACATTATTGAAATTTTCATTACATGATTTTCTAAACCAGTTATTGCTGGAAATGAGAATGGAAAAACATGACATATCTACAATTGTATTTACTGCTAACAAATGTTTGCAAATTGTACTACACATACAGGACCCATATAACACTTGTGTGTAATAAAGTGCATATATGGTATTGGCTGTTAGGCTATTGGTTTTTGAATATGCATGCCATGCCTGTATTGCCATGTGCTCGATTCAAATTCCCTTTATTTTTTACTCTTTCTTTTACAATGACTATGAAACTTATGCTGTGTGTAGTGTGCCGCAAGAACATTTGGCCTGAAGGAGATCTTCACACAACTGAAGCAGCAGCAGTAAAAGCCTAGTGCCAGTGTTGAGACAGTGGCTACTCATGATCTTGAATGTTTATTCTTGTTTTTAGATTATCTTTTGAAACGAAAATATTTTTTCAAAACTTGTACCCAACTTACACATCCTTTTCTCTCCCAGTATGTTTGGGAAACATTATTTTAGCAAGTATTTTTCTGATCACTACCTAAGGAACCAGGATTCAGAGATGTGAAAAACAAAACAAGCTTGGCCCTTCCTAAGGCAGTGAAAGACACTTTAACAGCAAGCTGTAAATAGATTGATTTGCGCTGTTCTAAAGGTATGCAAAGAGCACTATGGAACATATCGAAAGGAGCTACCAATTATTGTGAAGGTAAGGGCAAGGTTTAGAGCACATGATGGAAAAGGTCCTGTTGAAATAGGGTCTTAAAGGATAAGTCAGATAAGAAGATAGGTTTAAACTAGACAGAGAGATGTTATATGTAAAGACCAAGGTCATGAAAGACATGATTATTATAATGGTGAGAGGTGTGTGGCCCTAGATAGCATTTTTCGTGTGAGAAGTAAGTTGGAACCCCAAACTAAAAGTCTTGTTAGACTAGGTGTTTAGCCCTTATCTCATCAACATAGGCGAGCCACAGTGATCTGAGAACTGGGAGAGTATTCAGGGCAATATTTTTTATATATAGTGGTTACCACATTGTATTACAGTGTTCTCCTTCACTTGTCATTGGAGCTCTTCAAGGGCTGTGAGCATTAGTTATTAATCTTTGTGTACTAAGCTTTTGGTAGAGTAACTGATGAAAGTAATGCTTAGAAAACATGGATTGAATGACTAATCATGAGTAAAGAGGATTTAGGAGAGAATTATGACAATCTCCTATGGTGGTAGTTTTAGTGCTTTGTGGGTCACAGACTCCTTTGTGAGTGATTTTGAAAGCTTTTCCTTGAAAATGTAAATACATATAACATTTGGCTTATAGTTTTATGGGATTCATGTACCTCTGAAGCCAGTCCATGAATTCCTGGTTCAGAATTCCTCCTCAGGAAATTATACCCAGACAGCCATCACCATCACACATTGTCATGAATAATTACTATCTCTTTTAGCAGTCTTTAAATGTATTACAAGGCTGGGTGTGGTGGCTCGTGCATGTAATCCCAGCACTTTGGGAGGCTGAGGCGGGAGGATCATGAGGTCAAGAGATGGAGACCATCCTGGCTAACACGGTGAAACCCCGTCTCTACTAAAAAATTAGCCGGGTGTGGTGAGGGGCACCTGTCATCCCAGCTACTAGGGAGACTGAGGCAGGAGAATCGCATGAACCCGGGAGGAGGAGCTTGCAGTGAGCCGAGGTCGTGCCATTGCACTCCAGCCTGGGTTAAAGAGCGAGACTCCGTCTCAAAGGAAAAAAATATATATATCACGATTGTCTCTCTTTCTTGTAATTTTCTTGAGTTTCTTTCATATTTAGGAAGCAAATAGCTGACCTGTCTATGAATAAAGAAAGCATTTTTAATGATTAAGGTAAAACTTTACTGGTCTGTAAAGATAATAGACAAGTATGTGAATTAAGCCGGCAACCAAGAAACAGCCACTTGAGGAGAACCTGACATTCCTGTATTTGAGTTTAGCAAGTGAGTTGGAAGTCTGCAGGGCCACGCTCAGACTTGATTTGCTAGAAGGTCTCACAGACTCAGAAAAGCTGTTAGAGTCGTGGTTATAGTTAATTACAGCAAAATCATACAGATTAACATCAGCAAAAGGAAAAGGCACCTGGGGTGAAGTCTAGGAGAATTCAGGCACAAGTTTCCAGGTGTCCCATTCCAGTGGCATAACATAGATGGCCTTAATTCAACAACAATGTGTGACAACATGCACGAAGTTGTCAACCAGGGAAGTTCACTTGAGCCTTGGTGTCCAGGGTTGTTACTGTTGGTCAGTCACTTAGGCTTGCAGCACCTGCATGACAGGCTTTAGCCCCTCAGACTTTTCCTACTCTGCCCCTAGAAGTAATAGGTGTTCACTGTAAATCACATTGTTAGAATAAGCTGTCTGATGGCATTGGTACCATGCGAACCAAGGCCTCAGGCATACAGAAATCTTATCAGGGAGAATATTCCAAAGGTTCAGAACTCATCTACCAAGAGCCAGCCAAGGCTAGTTTTGAAGACAAGTCTTGGGAATATGCAGGGTTTGAGTAACTCAGTCCTGCTGAGTTAACCCTTTCTTGTACAGCAAGTTAGCTGTTCAGGGAGTTAGCTCTGTCTATCCTGCCCCTGTCTGCCTAGCCACTCCTTTTCTAGATACAGTGGACCTCCCTGCTCTTGTCATAGATAGCCATTCCATGTACTTAGACTTTTTTTTTACCTTGCTAACAAGTAATTGGAATGTTTAGATTTAAGAACATGTCTGCTTTGCAGTTTCATGTGACCATGGTGAAATTATGCACCAATTCTATCATTGTGATTCAACAAGTATTTTTTGAATGCTGCTGTGCATGAGGCATGGTGTTAGATGGCAGATTGACAGGAATGACTAATACAGGTATCTGGCCTCAAGGAGTTTACAGTTTCATAGGAGAAAGAAAAACAAAACTAGCAATTCTGGTAAGCAGTGTGTGTTTTGGAGAGCACTTAACTTCATCAGAGAGCGTGGTCGAAGGTGTATCTGTGTGTATGAGAAGGTGTTGGTGATAATTAGAAGACTTCCCTCAAGAGGTCACTCCTGGGGTTGAGCCATAAAGATCAAGTAGATACAAGTGGGCATGAAGCTAGTGTTTTGCCGCCAATCATTTCTGTAGTTAGGTTGCCTGTGTGGTTGGAGCATGTATGTATTGTTATGGGTGTAGTCTGCTTTGCTTCACTAAGAGAATGCCCCAGTCCTGGCCAGAATACACATGTCTTTTTTAGGGTTTGCACCAAGGGGAATAGGGAGTGTCTGGCTCAGTACAAATCTGTTTCCGTTACTCCATTACCCAGAAAGCCCCTGAAATGGCATTAGCCTACAGTTAATGGGTGGTAGTGTTTTCACGCATTGCTTCTCAAAGGAGGAGTATGTGAATGTTTAGTTTGGGGCTGGTTAAAAACAAAACAAAACAAAAAAAAGTATAACCATTACAAATTTAAATGTACTTTGTTTCTAATGGGAAGGCAAATGCTTGCCTTGCTTTGATGAAATTGAACATAACAAAATTTTTCTATACTTGGAAGCAAAAAACTTCAGGAAAAAACCTGGATCCAAGTGTTACTACATTTCCTTGGGCTTCCACATGTGTGTGGTTCTTAATATAATTTGAAACTTCTAAGAGCAACGAATAGTTGTTTTTTTGAACAGTGCATAGAAGTTGTGTGATAATAGGATCAAGAATGTATTGTTAGAGTGAATATTGGATAATTTCAAACTGTTAACCTTGAGATTTTTTTCTAATAGAATCTTTCTCTTTTTCCAGCATTACAGTGTTTCTGCCACCTCTGTACAAAAGACAATTTTACTTGTGTGACAGATGGGCTCTGCTTTGTCTCTGTCACAGAGACCACAGACAAAGTTATACACAACAGCATGTGTATAGCTGAAATTGACTTAATTCCTCGAGATAGGCCATTTGTATGTGCACCCTCTTCAAAAACTGGGTCTGTGACTACAACATATTGCTGCAATCAGGACCATTGCAATAAAATAGAACTTCCAACTACTGGTAAGTTGTTCTATAAAATTTTTTTCCTAGATACTACAAGAAAAACTCTTCACACTCTGTGACTTTAGAACTGGAAGGGATCATAGAAGTTGTCTAATCCAACTCATTCCGTTTAGAGGCAAGAAGTGGCTTGTCCACTGTTACAGACTTATAAGAGTAGCCACGATCCTGCCTCCTGGGTGTGTGTTGTTTAAGAAGGTTGTTCCAGGGTGGACTTCCTCTGAGGTCTGTTATACCTAAAAGGATAGATAAAAGCAAATTCTGACAAAGCCCCAACAACATCTTCAGATTGTCTCTACTTTGTTCTCAGAGTGAATTTCTTCTTCCTTATATAATGCTCCTATCTTTTAAAGCAGTCAGCAGTCTTTTAATGAGTGGTAATTCAGAGCAGCACTAAGTAGTCTAGATGTTTTCATTTTGTAATCTCAGCTTGTTTTATTATCTTTATGCATAAATTAATTATACATGATTTCTAGAATTTTGGTCCTTCACCTGTAGTTTACATTTAAAATTTCCCGGGGCTGGTGACTCATGCCTGTAATCCCAGCACTTTGGAAAGCCTAAGGTGGGCAGATCACTTGAGGCCAGAAGTTTGAGACCAGCCTGGGCAACATGGCAAAACCCTATCTCTACTAAAATCACAAAAATTAGCTGGGCATGGTGGCACATGCTGGTAATCCCAGCTACTTGGGTGGCTGAGGCACAAGAATCTTTGAACCTGGGAGGCAGAGGTTGCAGTGAGCCGAGATTGTGCCACTGCACTCCAGCCTGGGTGACAGAGTGAGGCTCTGTCTCAAAAAAAAAAAAAAGATAATTAAATAAGTAAATAAATAAAATTTCCTGGCAGAACCAGTAGTTTGAAGGCTTAATAAACTTTTTAATTTTAAGATTCCGGTTTAATATGGAAGTCTGAGCACATGTATTTAACTCTTACCTCTTTCCCCAGATCCCAAAGGAATATAAAAATGAGGGCAACCTATGTTAATACTAGTGGAATTAATGGTAGAATGCCACCCACATGCCAACACTTGTGAGGAACTTCTGCAATTCTGCAATTTACAGTACAGATGACACCAGACTGGTAAAGAATAGGATCAATAACTAATAAGAAAGGTTAGTCATTGAAAAGTCCGACCAATAACTTAGACGAGGGATTGGGGGTAAGGTGAGGGTACGGGGCGAACTCTCAGTTCCCTTTTAGGAAGCACCTGGCTTCAGTGCTCAGAGGAGCAGACACAGTTGCTCACTTTCCACTCAAGAGTTGGTCCAGGCCTTGTGCTAATTAAAGGAGGAAGCACTACTGTAGCGCAGAAGGAAAAGGCCAGTCGTCCACCTGTTCAGCATGATAATGCAGCTCTCCCGTGGTAAGGGTTGGTTAGACTACAATGTCTTTGACTTTGATGAAAGCATCTGCAGTTATAATGTGACAAAGAAAAGGATAATTCCAGAATTTCCCATTTCCATCATTTGAGCTTGAAATATCTGAATAGAGATTTATAAAACCTTGTGAAAAAGTCACCTCATTTCTCATGTTTCTAATTACCATATATAAACTTCTCATTTCCAGCTCTAGGATAAGCAAACAGCAAAAAATTACCAGTGAAGAGTTAGGAGCTCAAAAGAAGTAGTCTGAACTAGATAGATTAGATGTCATTCTATGAAATAGGTTTACCACATGATAGGGAGGAACTTTCAAACAGTCCAGGGTCTATTTTCAGTTATTCACTATGAAATGAGAACATTTCACAGTTGTTAAAGGTTGCTTTCAGAAGAAAAGCCCAACTGATGAATGTTTTTAAAAATGCACTATTGAGAGCGAACAACAGACTGGATGCCATAATTTTATAGTCAAGTTTGGGACAAGCTTAAGAAATTGTGTTACAATTCAGAGAAAAGACAGTTGGTGAGCATATTAAGAGATATAGGGAACAGATTTAGATGATCCAATATGCTTATTATCAGAATTCCAGAAAAAGGCATGAGAGTAGAAAGAAGACAGAATACCAGGCAAAATTAATGAAAAAATACTAATCCAAACACATGTAATAAAAAGTATCAGTTTCAAAAATAAAAGAATTATATAAGCATTTAACACACATAAACATTGGTTACCTATAAAAGGCAAAAAAAAAAAAAAGTTCAGATTTTCTGCTTAAATATCAGAGGGCAAATGGAACATTTTTGTAGTCACCTAAAATTCTTTAAATAGGCCAAGATTTTTCATATACAAAGGCAACAGCCTTCTTGCCACAAGTTCAGTGTACAAGGACGCATGGACTGTTCCTGAAGGAAATTACTAGAAGTAGGACTCTGTATGATAAGAGATTAATCTACTGAAGATCTCAAGAATGGGAAAGATGTGGTATGAAAGAAATGGTGGTAAGTAGTAAACCAGTAAGACTCAGGATGAATGTCAGAATAATTGTAATTTTCTGAAACAACCGGAAAATTTTAATTATTAATGGAAGTTGCAAGAAAATGATCTGGACTTAAAAGTTCAGGAGGTTAAGATAGAATAAAAAGTATGCAAGCTCTGTTAAAAAAAAAAAAAAAAAAAGATATGTTCTGCCTTTAAAAAACTGGTGGAGCTATTGGCTGGGCACGGCTCATGCCTGTAATCCCAGCACTTTGGGAAGCCAAAGTGAGTGAATCACTTGAGGTCAGGAGTTCGAGACTAGCCTTGAGCAACATGGTGAAACCTGTCTCTACTAAGATACAAAAATTAACCAGGTATGGTGGCACATGCCTGTAATCCCAGCTACCTGAGAGGCTCAGGCAGGAGAATTGCTTGAACCCGGGAGGCGGAGGTTGCAGTGAGCCAACATCACACCACTATACTCCAACCTGGGCAACAAGAGTGAAACTCTGTCTCAAAAAAAAAAAAAAAAAATATTGGTGGAGATATAAATACTAAAATGTGAGTTGTTTGGGAGTGATGAAGATGTATGTGTTTTTTTGTTTGTTTGTTTTGATATTTTTGTTTGTTTTTCCTGCTATGAGCATGTACTGGCCTTGGAACAAGAAGACAAGTCAAACACACTTTTAAAAATATATATGATTTTTAAGGAGACGTTAATGGGTATTGTTACAGGTTATTGGTATTACTGACCTGATGTGATAAGTGGGGAAGGTACTATGATATTGGTAGCAGCTGGCCTTGTAATGATGGCTGAAGAGTACAGAAGGAGTAAGTGGGTGCTGACAGAGCTGGTGTGCATGAAAGGAGGCCTAGTAGGAGAAGACTGAATGATTCACTTGTTCTGGGTTTGAGCCCTATAAACTGCTGTAATGAGGCTCTTTGGCTATGTGGTGGCAGTGGCCAGCTGCAGGAATTGTGTAGGATTAGGAAAATGGGGGTTGCCACCTACAGTGTTTTTGTTGTTGTTGATGTTTATTTCACTCAAGGCCCTTTTTCAGTAAAGTCATCACCTGGCCTTGGTCCCGTGGAACTGGCAGCTGTCATTGCTGGACCAGTGTGCTTTGTCTGCATCTCACTCATGTTGATGGTGTATATCTGCCACAACCGCACTGTCATTCACCATCGAGTGCCAAATGAAGAGGACCCTTCATTAGATCGTCCTTTTATTTCAGAGGGTACTACGTTGAAAGACTTAATTTATGATATGACAACATCAGGTTCTGGCTCAGGTAATGTAATTGTTTCTCCTTTTTCCTAAGACGTCTTTTTAAAATTAAGTGATACTTATTTTATTAGTTTGCTAATAAGCCAACTTGTTAGAATGTGAGATAATATAAATAATATTCCAGGTTTGAAACTAATAAAAATCTTTAAGCTTGATGTATATATGACTGTGGCTGGTTTAAAATAGATTGGAACTTACTTTAACTGTTAAAGCAAGTCAGTCAGCTCCATGGTGGTATAAATTTCAAAGCGTTCTCACTTGTATGATCTAATTTGCTTTTCATCACTGTGAGGTAGAAAGGATAAGAACAATTATTCTCATATGGATGAAGCCGAAGTTCAAAGATGTTCAAATGATCTGCAACTAACCCATTCTATTCAGGATTGTTTAGCAGCCTGATGTTTATATTTGAAAACAGGCATGATAAAAATTTATTCAGAATTGTGAAGGTTATTTGCTTTTTAAACAGTATATGAGGCCGGGCGCGGTGGCTCAAGTCTGTAATCCCAGCACTTTGGGAGGCCGAGACGGGCGGATCACGAGGCCAGGAGATCGAGACCATCCTGGCTAACACGGTGAAACCCCGTCTCTACTAAAAAAATACAAAAAACTAGCCGGGCGAGGTGGCGGGCGCCTGTAGTCCCAGCTACTCGGGAGGCTGAGACAGGAGAATGACGTAAACCCGGGAGGCGGAGCTTGCAGTGAGCTGAGATCCGGCCACTGCACTCCAGCCCGGGCGACAGAGTGAGACTCCGTCTCAAAAAAAAAAAAAAAAACAGTATATGAAATTGTCTTTTGTATAGGCCTGGTTTTTTAAAATTAAACTAATGAACTCTTACGTCATTTTCTCACTTCAGAAAAATGTCTATTCACCTTCTTATTTAATGTAGTTTTGGCCCCTAATGAGATTTGCTTTTCCCAGTTCTATTTGTTGATATTTGTGGCATCAGAAGTAGATGAGCTAATTGTCAGAGTCATCCCAAGGTGGATTTTGGCATAGCAGTGCTTCATATTTAAACTGAAGGGGCGTTATCTTCTACTTTTTCTTGTATATGGTTTGGAAAAGTATTAAGAGAGGAACACTCCTATCCCCTGTGTTTTTAGAATTTGACACTTGGCTAAGGATAAATAGATCTAGGTTCCAAGGCAAGTTTTGTTGCTGATTGACTGTATAACCTTGGTTAAAACATGTTTCCTCTTTGGGCTTCTGTTTCCTCATCAAAAATACGGAACCCATACTGCTGATAAAAACACTTCAAGTGGTTTGTTAAGACTTTTAAATGAGATATACTATCCTTTGAAAAGTATGAGTCGTCTTTAAATAAGGGCTAAATTCATGAATAAAGTGAAAATTTGGAAAGCGCATATAGTGAAAATTTCACTAATTTTGGTGAAACCCCATCTCTACTAAGAATACAAAAAAATTAGCCGGGCATAGTGGCATGCGCCTGTAGTCCCAGCTACTCGGGAGCCTGAGGCAGGAGACTCGCCTGAACCTGGGAGGTGGAGGTTGCAATTAGCTGAGATCGTGCCACTGCACTCCAGCCTGGGCAATAGAGTGAGACTCCATCTCAAAAAAAAAAATTCACTAATTTTATAACTGAGTGATATTAAAGGAATATTAAAGCAGAAATTGAGCATAAAATCACATCTAATGTTGCACAAAGCTCATATAATGACAAATGTCTATTTATTTTAAGGAAATGAATATATATTGTTATGTATGCATATCCATTCATTTAAGAATGAAGAAACTGATTTTATTACCTGAATTATTCTTCTGTAGAATTTGGCCGTATGTATTCAATAAGAGAACTCTCTCTTTGACTACTAGGACACATACAGGCTTGCACTGGAGCTCAGATCAGAAGGCAAGCTTAGGGATTCCTGAAACAGTTGTGTAAGGAAGACAATGAGAGTTTGGACTTAGATGGAGCCATCTTAGTACTGAAGGTGTGATAGTCTTTGGGCAGGAGTGGTGGACGGAGGTTATTTTAGAGCTTTCCTGGGACTTCCCATTTATTCTCAGTTCAGATCTTCAAAAAGATTTTGTTCATTCTAGAAGTAATCCTGCTCAAGACTGTGATAATCAAGGACCAGAGTCACAGAAAATCAGGATGGCTTCAGATCATTTGGAATTAATCCCTCAGACCTGTTGTCTTGTTTCTAAACTTACACTCCGGAAAGACAGCAGCTCATGCCACTTGCCACAGTGGAATAAGCCCACCTAATTGATTAAAGGAATTGGTGGGTGGGTGATAGTTGATTACTGAATAAGAATATCTTCATTAACCTTTTAAGAGATAAACATGAAAAAGAACGGAATAATTCTGTTTCCATTATATATATGTATATGTTTCTAGATCCATGAGGGACCATAGCTCTCTGTTCTCTGAAAGCTTCTCTCCCTCTTTTTATGACTTACCCTGCAAAAACTTGTCTGCATTGCTTGCTAGCTCTGTAGCTTTGGGCAGTTAACCAATGTCTCATGCTTGAGTTATTTCATCTTTAAAATGAAAGTGATGGAGTCTGCTTTGTGCACATCATTGGGTGGTTGTGAGTTCAAGCAAGACAAAATGTTGGCATGAAAGCGCTTGGTAAATTGTGAAGTTATGTCCAAATGACAAGTGTTGCTCTTATTGAAAACATACTTGGAAGAAAAATCTAACATACATTATCAGTTGACTACATTGTACAAAACTTAGTTTAAGGCCACCTTTACCTGTCATAGTTCATTGTGTACTGAATTCTCTACAAACCTATCTAGGCAGAAGCCATCTTCTGGTGAATAATAGCAGAAAATGCCATCTGTTTCCCTTCTATTCATTATAAATCCTTAATGCCACCTTAGGCATGAGAGTAGTGCCTGTGAGTAAGTAAACTGTGTGTTTATAATACTTTGTTTTAGTTCTTTTGTTAATTGAGGAAAAGGTATAAGCGTTTCACATTCTGAATTCATGTGTTCATTACTCAGTACCGGGACCATAATTAAGGAAAGGCCCTATCTCTACCTCTAAAGACAGTGCTTTTAACTTGGGTACTTCAGGGAATACAATGAAGAGTTGGGTTCTGGCAGCTGTACCCCAAGTGTGTGAATGTGCACATGTGCATATGTGCCAGCTTTTGATAGTGAGTCTTCTAGGCCAGTGTTCGTTATAGCTTGTGCAGCTTACGAGCTCTTGTAATATATGCATGTTGTTCAGGTCTTATTTCCTGTTCACTGCATGTGAAGCTGTGGAGTCCCTGTTTCCCTTTTGAAGTTTTCTCTCGAACAGTGCTAAAGGTACAGAAGAGTAGAGCAGAGAATATAGAGATCTAAATTAGGCCTATTCCATTTTGTCTTTAGAAGAAAATTGCTACTTTTTTTGTTTGTTTGTTTGTTTTTGAGACGGAGTCTCACTCTCTTGCCCAGGCTGAAGTGCAGCGGGGTGATCTCAGCTCTCTGCAGTCTTCACCTCCCGAGTTCAAGCAGTTCTCCTGCCTCAGCCTCCCGAGTAGCTGGGATTACAGGCGTGTACCACCATACCCAGCTAATTTTTGTATATTTAGTGGAGACCAGATTTCACTATGTTGGCCAGGCTGGTCTCAAACTCCTGACCTCTAGCGATCCAACCACCTTAGCCTCCCAAAGTGCTGGGATTAGAGTTGTGAGTCACTGTGCTGGCCAATTGTTAACTTTTTTAAAATGCTCAACTATTCATGTGAAGTAACCCAATATAGATAATACAATGGATCAAGATTTGCTTTTTAATTTTAATTGACATCTAGAATCCAGTTATAAAGGGGAAGACAAAAACTTTCCTCGTCCTGTTGGCCTTTCTTGACCATACCATTTACACAAGTCCTGAACCTGTCAGGTGTTTTCAGAATTCGTATTTGTGATTCCTTTTTCTTTTTTATTACTTGCCTTTGCAATTTCCAGATTAGTCTCCTGAAATTAACTCTTAAATGTACTTTTAAGTCTGTGGTGTGGCCCTCTACAAGGCTTCATAAAATGTAATAAATTAGTATCTACACTAAACGACATAATTAGAATTGATTATTCATAGTGTGAAAGAGCTCTATGATTTAAATAAGGATTTCGGACAGATCTGTTTCTCACTGGCAGCCTCCTTGTAAACACAAACAGTTATTTATAGTTAGACTGCTAACTACTTTATAGGAGGTGGGGAGGGTAGAGCAAGAGGAAGAATGGACCCATTTGAGACACTTAAGAAGAAGAGCTGATCGCTTTAAAGATTTAACGTTTGGATTTATAAGCATTTCACATCAGGGAACCAAAGAGAGCAGATAATTTCATTTACTGTCATTGGGTTAATTTGATCTAGCAAGTAGCTTTGAGTATAGATTATAAATGACACCAATTTATGTATACATAGATTGTATAAATAAGATACTAGTGAGGAACATGATGTACACTGGCATTTTCTTTGTTAGTGTCAGTGTAATTTAAAATGACACTTACCAGATGGGGGATAGGATATTAAGTTACTGTCTCACATATAGTGACACTTAAATGTTGCAGGTAAGTTAGTAAACCCTTTTAAATGAAATAAGTATGGCAATACTTAAAAATACATATTTTGGAGAAAGCCAAGTTCAATTAGTGGAAAAACAGTGCTCCATTACCAAGGTAAGTTACTTAGCCTTGTTCTTCAAGATACTAGTGTTGCCTATGTAGCCAGTTGTTAGCAAGTAAATTGCTTTCATTGAAATAGCTTCTGTGGTGATTCTTACTGGTTTATTAAAAAGCCAGAATTTACTTCTGTGTTTCTGTGTTCACATCCTTTTTTCCTCCCGTCAGTGAAACAGTTACTAGTTTCATCTTTCTAAAATAAGATTTTAAAATTATCTTGCTTCCAGCCATGGCCCTTTTTCTCAGAAATCATTTAGAGTTTCTTTTACCTAAAGCTCTCATTGGTTATCTTGAGCTTGGTATTCAATACTCTTCATCTTCTGGTGACAGCTTACTTTCTCTTTCACTGCTTTGCCACATACATCCTCTCTCTGATTGCCCAGGCTGCTTCCCTAAACATGTGTCATTCATTTCCCTCTACCTTTGCCTGTACATTCTTCCTGCCTAACCACCATACTTAAGGGATAGTCAAAATTCAACTGACTTTTACAAAGCCTACCTTGACCCTCTAGCAGGAGTTTCTGGATTCTTTTATTATATTTATTATCTTACTTTCCTTTTTTAATTAGTTATTTTATTGCAAATAAAATACATATCTCCCCAGTGAGATAAGTTCCTAAAGGGATAGCTTAAAGTGTCAGCTTTCTGGGTCACTTGTTAGTGCCTATCATGATGTTTGAAACATGTAATATTGTTGATTGTGTTGAGTACTATTTATTTTTACCTTTAGGTTTACCATTGCTTGTTCAGAGAACAATTGCGAGAACTATTGTGTTACAAGAAAGCATTGGCAAAGGTCGATTTGGAGAAGTGTGGCGAGGAAAGTGGCGGGGAGAAGAAGTTGCTGTTAAGATATTCTCTTCTAGAGAAGAACGTTCATGGTTCCGTGAGGCAGAGATTTATCAAACTGTGATGTTACGTCATGAAAACATCCTGGGATTTATAGCAGCAGACAATAAAGGTCTGTAACATTTGCTTTTCCTTATGTTATATATAACAAGATCTCTTGAAGTCTTTTCAGATATGGTGACTAACCATCATCAAAGTAGATGAGAAATAGATGTCTGTCATGTAGATTAGACCCGTTAAGTCAAATACAATATATTAGTAACTTTTAGAACTAGGAACTTCTTAAAGATTTTCTTGACTCTTGATAACATTCCTAAAATCTCTTATTGTTTTATAAAATGTAAAAGAGCTATTTTAAAAAGCCATATACTTTGTTGGTTTAGTTTAGGGCAGTTAGTTATTAAGAGTAGTCATGATATGGAAAAGATATATAAACCTGCTCAAAATTTTGAGAATAGGGCTTAGATAGCCATTTCCTTTTAATCTCTTCCTGACCAGTAGAGTGTTTCAATATAGACTATCGAACTTATTTATGGGGAGAGTAAAAATAACTTGTCGGTGTCCTGAGTTGCCAAGGGCTAAATAGATGAATCTTTTGGCAAACTCAATTAAAGAGAGAAATTGTTTCTTCAACCACCCTGCCATTGGTAACCGTGCGGACGCTTTTTTGCCTGTAATGCTTTTGCCTGAGGGGCAGCATCAGGTCAGATGCTGAAGAAGGAAGGAAGCCTGTCAGTGGGGAGTCAGAATGAGTGAGGACTGCAAGCAGTGACCTTAGACTGTGCTGCTGCCACTTTCTTAGCTTCCGTTAATACCGTTATGCCCACGATTCCTACTTTTTGTTTTGTTTTGTTTTGTTTTTTGAGATGGAGTCTCGCTCTGTAGCCAGGCTGGAGTGCAGTGGCGCAATCTCAGCTCACTGCAGCCTCCGCCTCCTGGGTTCAAGTGGTTATCCTGCTGCAGCCTCCTGAGTAGCTGGGACTACAGGTGCGCACCATCATGCCCAGCTAATGTTTGTATTTTTAGTAGAGATGAGGTTTCACCATGTTGGCCAGGATGGTCTCCATCTCTTGACCTCGTGATCCACCCACCTCACCTTCGCAAAGTGCTGGGATGACAGGTGTGAGCCACCACACCCAGCCCCCATGATTCCTATTTTTACTGCCTCTGTCAGAGACTTGTGTTTCAGCTCCACTCTTATCATCCCTACCCTTAAATCAAATATATTTCCAAGCTTTCCTGTTTTAAAAAAAAAAAAATGCTGTCATTGTCTCTTAGCTTGGCCAGACCTGTAGTCATCTTTTTCCTTCTCTCACCTTCCATTTACTTCAGCAATATTTATTTATTCAAATGTTAACAGTGTTTAACCTCAGTAGGTAATTATGGGTGATTTTTATGATATTTCTTTTAGCTTCTCTGGGTTTTCAAATTTATTTACAAGCATATATTGCTTTTTTTTTTTTTTTTTAACTTTTATTTGTAGAACATTTCCAATATGTAGAAAAGCCAAAGTAGTTACAGTGATCCCTCATTGTCCAGCTTCAACGGTTGTCAGGTCACTGCCAATCATAATTGATGTCTTATCCCACCTACTCTGCCCTAATTGTGTTAATTCGAAGCTAGTCCCAGACAACATGTTTTCATCCGTAAACGCTTATAAAATGTAATTTGTATCTTCAAATGATGAGGAAATGTTTTTATGAAACAACTACACTACCATTGTCAATTTTTAAAATGTTATCAAATACCCAGTTAGGTTCAAATTCTATAATTGTCTCCTATTAAAAAAAATATTTATTCAAATTATGATTCTAAGTCCACATATTGCATTTAGTTGATATTTCTCTTATGTGTCTTAAAATCTTTAGGTTTCCCCCTTCATCTTTTTTCTCCTCTTGCAGTTTATTTGTTGAAGAAATTGGATTGTTTGTCCTGAAAGGCCTATCATATTCTGGATTTTGCTAATTGAATTTCCATAGTGTCTCTTAACTTGTTTTTCTATCTTTTGTAAAAACTGGTAGTTAGATTTAGAAGCTAAACCTAATTGCAGTTTTATTGGTTTTCTCAAAATACATACTAAGGATATTATATACATCCTGTTGCATCATATGTGGAGGTGTATAATGTTTAAGACAGGGGCAGTGATGTATATGATGGATGTAGGTAGCAATTATCAGTGGCACCTGACAGTGCAATACCCTTTAAGTTAAAAAAAAAAAAAAAAAAAACAGGCCGGGCACAGTGGCTCACGCTTGTGATCCCAGCACTTTGGGAAGCCAAGGCAGGTGGATCATGAGGTCAAGAGTTCAAGACCAGCCTGGCCAAGATGATGAAACTCCATCTCTACTAAAAATACAAAAAAATTAGCCAGGCGTGGTGGTAGGTGCCTGTAATACCAGCTACTGAGGAGGCTAAGGCACAGAATCTCTTGAACCCGGGAGGTGGAGGTTGCAGTGAGCTGACATCGCACCACTGCACTCCAGCCTGGGCGACAGAGAGAGACTCCGTCTCAGAAAACAAAACAAAAAACAAAAATAGCAATCAGTGTGACCAAATCCTTAGTTCTCATTTTCGTTTCTGCCTCTAACACCATTTATTTCCTCCTCCAACTCTTAAAACAACCTTTTCTTTATTTACTATGTTTGGTGACCCTAGACTTTCTTTGTTCCTTTTATTTCTTCATAGTTGTCTTTGTTTTCTCAACTCTTACTCTTCTCACTGGTTCATATGAAGGTACTGATTCTGTAAGTGGTAATTTCTTCCTTAAGAACATAGCCACATTCATGGTTTCAAACTGTACCATGTTGGCAAGTCTCAAATCTCCATTTGAAAGCTTAAACCTCAACCGGGAACCGGGGTCTGGATTTTGTCACATTCCAGGTTACAAATACAGCAGCACAAAATGTTGATGAGTTTGTGCCCTGAACTTCTAACCAAGCTGATGCTGTCATCTGGTGGTCACCATGGGAACTAGCCAACCTTACTGGCTCTTCCCTACTCCCCTTCTTTCTTCTTTGTCAGCAGTTAATGTGCTTTCTCTGAGCCTAGTCCCTCCACCCCAGTTCCTTTATCTTCTGATTTAGTTAATTCCACCCCGGCAGCCCTTTATATGTATGGCCCCTTATATATAACCTTCCTTCTGCCTTGTCCGTAACCTGCGATTTCCCTTTCTTCCATCTGCCTGCCTTCCACTTTGTTTCTTGTATTGGTGAGCTTTTCAAAATTCAGTAACGGTTAAGAGGCACGCAAATAAGCTAGTGATGTGCCTATATCAAGGAAAAGCCAGGGTGTGAGTTTGGACAGAATCAGTTTATAAAGTTCATGAAGAACAAATTAATACTAAGTCCTTTTAAATGTACCCAGAAATCTCCTTCAGAATCTTCTGAAAAGTTTCCATTCCTTTCTTAATCTCTTCTAATCAGAGTTGGTTTTCTTCAACTAAATACCTTCAAAATAGAAGCGGTTTCAAACTGTCACTATGGATTTTTTTCTTTTGTTTTACAACCAGCAGGGAGAGAAAGAGCGCAGTTTATGTACTTCTTACCTAAAGAATCTAGTATTCTGTTTTTTAAAACCTTAACGGTCTTACAAAGTAAGACGTTATTCTTGTATAAAAGGAGAAACAGAGGCTCCTTGGCTAAGAAAGTATCAGTAACAGGCAGGCTGTGGATTCCAGCCAGGTCAGAATGACTCTTAAGCGTGCATCTTTTACGAGATTGTACTGTCTCCTAATGTTGTAATGCTTTTTTTTTGTTCATGGCTTAATTAAATATGTGGTTTTTCCAGCTGCTTCTAGGTTAAATTAGACTGTCGTGGACCAGTCTAGCCTAGGAGCCTAGCTGGTATCTTTACCATTATTCCTATGAGAAAACGTGTTTTAAACTCGTGTATTGGCTTACAGAGGAAATTTTGGAACCCACGTTCCTAGTTGTTTGAGTTTAGTCCCAGCTTTTCCAGCTTTTCTCCTGACATTTCAGTTCCTATTTCAGCTTCCCCATGTGTTAGAGGTATCACTATCTCTGTTTTTCTAAGCTAGCAACCTTGGAATCGTAATCATCTTGTCTTGCGTCTTTGTGAACTGTGTACACAATCTGTCACTAAAGCTTGTCATTTCTCATTGAAACTCACTTCCAGTTTTGTCCCATACTCTTCCATTCCCACTGTGGCCACACTGGGCTCCGGAGACTTCTCACCTCCTTCCTTCCCTCTGTGTTCCCCTCCTTTTTTTTAACTTCTCTCCTTCCAGGAACAGCCACTGAGCACCCATCCCGACCCAGAGATTTTTCTAGGCACTTAAGAGCCAACTCTGATACTAATTATCTGTGAAGACTCAAGAAAGTCACCATCTTTGTCCCTTGAATGGGATTAATTATCCTTGCCTTATCTCAAGAAGAGGGACTTACTCTGAGGAACTAAAGAATGTGTACATAAAAGTATAAAACAAACTGAATGTAGAAGAAAATGTGAAGGAAATACATACAGACTTAAGGTGGCATTATATTTCAGTGTGTGACTCAGGATTGAGAGTAAAAAGTGATAACCTTTGAACATATAAATCATAAATGGTCTATAGCCCAACCGAAATGTTAATTCTGTTTTACAGACAATGGCACTTGGACTCAGCTCTGGTTGGTGTCAGATTATCATGAGCATGGATCCCTTTTTGATTACTTAAACAGATACACAGTTACTGTGGAAGGAATGATAAAACTTGCTCTGTCCACAGCGAGCGGTCTTGCCCATCTTCACATGGAGATTGTTGGTACCCAAGGTAATTCTATAAGCAGTTCTATTATTTAAGCTTTAAATTTCCATGAATAATGTCTATGAAAATAGAAAGTGGAGGCCGGGCCTGGTGGCTCATGCCTATAATCCCAGCACTTTGGGAGGCTGAGGTGGGCAGATCGCCTGATCTCAGTTCATGGCCAGTCTGGGCAGCATGACAAAACCGCATCTCTGCCAACATACAAAAAATTAGTTGGGCATGGTGGCATGCACCTGTAGTCCCAGCTCCTCAGGGGACTGAGGTAGGAAGATTACCTGAGCCTGGGAGGTTGAAGCTGCAGTGAGCAGACATCATGCCACTGCGCTTCAACCTGGGTGAGACTCTGTCTCAGAAAAAAAAAAAAAAAAGAAAAAAAAAAAAAAAAAGGAAACAGTAGGTGGCCTAACTGGAGATATTTAAAACAAATTTTTTAGATGAGAACATTTTTATCTTTCAGTTCAAAATTTCAGGTAGAGCTAGGAATCTGGAAATTTGTTTAGAGATTCTCTTGTCATTTTAACAAAACTGTGGGGTTTTTTTTTTGAGTTCTTAAAAGTAGCATTCAATCTTATGATTTTTGAGGGTCTCAGTTTCAGAATTCAAGTCCAAGTGAATATATTTTTATATGTAGTATCAAATGAAATGTGAAAGTGCTTTGTAAACATCAGCATGCTATGTAACTATTATCTGGCCATCTAATAATTACATTTGACCTTGAGATAAGGAGACTGCATGAGATAGTTTTACAGTTGAAAAATTAAATACTAAGTTTTAGTTATGACATTTGTATGCTATAGTTTTTGTGCCATGTAGGATTTCAGATGCCAGCATATCTCTCTACTCTAGCAGTTGTCCACTTGCAACCCAGTGGCTCCCCCACTCCCCACTTTACATACAGCATAAGTGCTAGTTCACATAATAGCCAGCTCCATCTTTGTAATTATTATTATTATTGATTATAGCAGTTTTATTGAGTTATAATTCACATCATACAGTTCACCCACTTAAAGTATAAAATTCAGTGGTTTTTAGAATGCTCAGAGTTGTATAACCAACAAACACTACAGTCAATTTTAGAATATCTTCACTCCAAAGAGAAACCCCGTAGCCACTAGCAGTCACTCCCCTTTCCCCCCAAACTCCTTAGCCCTAGGCAACAGCTGCTCCTTTTTGTCTATAGATTTGCTTATTCTGCACATTTTATATAAATGAATCATACAATATGTGGTCTTTTGTGACTGGCTTCTTTCACTTAGCATGTTTTCAAGGTTCATTTATGTTGTAGCATATATGAGCACTTCAGTCATTTTGATGGCTGAGTAATACTCCAGTGTATGGATATACCACTTGTCATGTATCCATTCGTTGATGGACATTTGGTTTGTTTCTTCTTTTGGCCATTGTAGCTAATGCTGCAATGAACATTTGTGTACTTTTATGTAGTTTCATGTTTTCAGTTATCTTGGGTATATATCTAGGAGTTGAACTACTGTATCATATGATAACTCTATTTAATGGTTTGAAGAACTATCGTACTGTTTTCTTAAAGTGCCTGAACCATTTTACATTCCTGCCAGCAGTGTATATGAAGGTTCCAAGTTTTCCACATTATAATTATTATTTTTTAAGAGCGCATTTTCTAGTGGTTAGTCTCAAAGGTAATACACTTAATACTGAGTACATTCCAGTTGATAGGGAAGTGATGATCTACATGCTTGGTTCCTGGGCTGCTGGAATATCAGTCTATGGCTAAGTTTCTTAAAAAGAATTCTTGAGGCACCAACAGATAAACCGATAACTTTTTTTGCCCCAGTCTTTTGAGTTGTTCATCTTTTAAAGCATGTTATTGTCCACATTTTCTTTAAAGGAATACAATTTCAGTGATTTTTGGTGTAGTGATTCACTTGAGTTTAATAATGCCATAGGTATTGTAGGTCATGTGGGCTGAAATGCTTTGATAATTTGGGTCAGGAGAAGAAATTTTTGAACCTAAAGGTGTGGGTTGTGATTGGTATTACCTTTTAAGCAGTCATGTTTAATTTTTGATTCTTTAGGAAAGCCAGCCATTGCTCACAGAGATTTGAAATCAAAGAATATCTTGGTAAAGAAGAATGGAACTTGCTGTATTGCAGACTTAGGACTGGCAGTAAGACACGATTCAGCCACAGATACCATTGATATTGCTCCAAACCACAGAGTGGGAACAAAAAGGTATACTTTTGAATAGCTATTTTTAATATCTTCTGAAATCACCTTTTTTCCCTTCTCTTTCATATATACATACCATTGCTGAAACTCAGCTTAAACTTACACTTTATTAGATTGCCAACAGGCAAGAAGATCTCATGGTCTTGCCTGCTCTGAAGCCAAAGTTACCTGACTTAAAAAGATGCCTGCTGATGAAAGGTTGCCCTTCCAGAAAATATTAGTAGGCATGTTAATTATAATTACAGTAGTAACTAACATTTATAGAGCACCTACTATGTGCCAATCGTCTGATAGGTCTTTTACTTGTATTACCTCATTTAATCCCTTCTCAAATACTGTGCTATAGCTAGCCCTGCTATTTTCATATTTCAGTTCCTGAAAATATGCCTTTCTTGCTTTCTTAGAACTTTTGCACATGCTGTCTCCTGGAGCGTATTTTACCCTACTGTTTCTCAGCCTCGTACCCACCTTTCCTGTAGGAAGTTTTTTCTAGTTCTCAAGACTCTTAGGAGTCCCTGCCAGGGGCTGTCATAGCACACTAAACTGGGACCGTTGAGGCACTTACGCATTATGTAGTAACTGTTTATTTATTTGCCTGTATATTCTATTAGGTGCAAGCTGCTTGAGAGCAGCCTTGTATTCCCAGCATCCATCACAGTGCCTAATACATGGTAAATCCTCAGTAGATATTTGTTGAGTCCATGAGTCTTCAAAAGAACTTAATTAGGTAGGTGTTGTTACCCTTAATTCACAGACGAGGAAACCACCTTGAGGAGGTTAAATAATATGGTCAGCTTCATGTGGATGATAAGCCAAAGAGCTGAGATTTGAACCTGGGCGTTTCTGACCCAAAGCCCTTATCACTTGCTGTCACAGCATTTCTTCAAACTACTTCCTTGGCCTTGGAGAGAGCCGGAGAGCCAGCAGCATTAGTCTATTCAAATTTTATGTGTAATTTTGAGATTTCTGGATTCCCTGGGGACTCTGAACTCTCAGCCAGCTAAGGGGTCCTTGACAGTGGTTGCTGCAGGTCTCTGTGGGTCTTGACCCATAATTTTCATAGGTTTTTGAAGCTTCAGTATGAGGACTGGCATTCTTCTGTGTCTATTATTTTTTCCCCTAGAGTATATTCCTGCCCTTCCTTTCATCCTCAGTGAGAAGACTTCTAGATTAAAATGCATGGTTTCTACCTAGTACATGTATAGGTGGTGTACATTGGGACACCTTTAACAGTCACAATAGTTGCATATGTCTTTCACTGGAAACCAAGATCATGAGGCAGATAGCGTGAAACTGCTATTTTAGCGTTTTGTGGGATTTAGTTGACATCATTAATGTGCAAACCAGTGTGGATATTTAATATTTTTCTTGAGTCTAATATTTGTTATGTAATATTTTGTGCATTTGTCTGTGTACAGAGAAATGTCTGAAAGGATGTTCATCAAAATGTGGCAGTAAGGGGATGATTTTCAAAGTTATTTTTGCAAATTTTTTTTAGGTACATGGCCCCTGAAGTTCTCGATGATTCCATAAATATGAAACATTTTGAATCCTTCAAACGTGCTGACATCTATGCAATGGGCTTAGTATTCTGGGAAATTGCTCGACGATGTTCCATTGGTGGTAAATTGCTCCCCTCTCCCCCAACAGTTTGTCATGAGCAGAAGAAGTTGTTCGAGAATTGTCTTCTTTTTTTATTGAATGAAATTATGCACAATCCATTATCTGAAACAGGACATCACCGAGTGCCAGAGAAAAGAAAGGCGATGAAACCTTTGGGAGGGGACAGTGCCATGGTGTGCACATGCACAGCTCTAGCCTAGTGTATTCTCTTCCTGTTTCCATTTGAATCTTGAGACTCATCAGAACCCAAACCCTTGTTATACTGGAATAGAGTTCTTTAGAATGGACAGCTGCTTGAGAGGCTCACCTAGGAAGCTGTTTCTAGCATGTACCTGGGTGTCAAATTTATTTTTTTTCTTTGGCATTGTGGTTATTTTCTCCAACTTGATAGTTATAGATTACGTACACAGAATACAATTACGTTACCATTGTGTTGTTTTCTAGAGTTAGTTTGTCTTAACTTCTAGCGTTTTAGATGGAGTACTTATAATGTTTACTCAGGAAACAGTCTCTTAGGCTTGGGGACCTAGGCGTGGCTGAGACCTTAGTGCCTTAGGTGTTTGAAGCAGTGAGGGACAGAGCATTTCTCTGTATTGTAGTAAATAGGATATATTATTGACAGATGCAAGTAGAGAAAGGGACTTGCACCTTAAACTTGCCTCATAGGATTTGTGTCTCACTGATAGGATCTATATATCCCTGTACAAGTGAGAGCCTGTGCACTTACAGAATAGCATCTCATTTGCTGCACAATAGGGTTCTAGGGGAAAATGTCAGTCTGGTGGTCACAGCTCACAGTTTACTGTCATTTCAAATAGGCGTTATTGATCTCATGGCAATACTTAGTTTCAGGGTGTGGGCAGAATATCAACTCAGGGAAGTGACTTGTTGATACCGATTTGGATGAGATAGAGAAAGCTGTAATCTCTGTTCCACCTACCTACTTTAGTAATAAGACACTGTAATAGGCCTTTCAGGTGATCTTTTTAATGCCTTGATATTCGCTGAATACATTCGTCAAAATTATTTTTTTTTAAACTGATACAGGAATTCATGAAGATTACCAGCTGCCTTATTATGATCTTGTACCTTCTGACCCATCAGTGGAAGAAATGAGAAAAGTTGTTTGTGAACAGAAGTTAAGGCCAAATATCCCAAACAGATGGCAGAGCTGCGAAGTGAGTATTTCTTTTTGATATTAGGCAATTTTCTAAACTTCTGCTTAGTAAGCAAAAGTTTGCTGCTTTTCTTTAAGGAAAACTTTTCTTTAAGAAGTTTCTTTTTCATAGCAGTCAAACCAGTGTGTAAAAACAGAATAATTTGGTTTTCATATTCAATTGTAAGCACATTGAAAGGGCCATAGAACATTTGCAGTGGCCTTTAGTGTATCAGAACATAGTTTAGGTCTGTCAGGCGAACTAAAGCACATACTTTTTAAGTGAATGCCTCCCTTCAGCCAGGGCAACCCAGAATAATAGACAGTTGCTGGACAGGAATGAGGAGACCTGTATTCTAGACCAGCCTGACTACCATTTCAAGGGTCTGACTTGGAACAAATCACTTTAGTTCTCTGAACCTTAATATCCCTTTGTAAGGTGAGGAACTCAGATAAGGTGATTACAAAGTTGTTTCAAGTGATTTTCCATTTTATTCATCTGATTGCCCAGATGACCATTAACCAGGAATTTAGGGAAAATGCTTTTTTCCCAGCAGTGTCTGAGCTTCTCAACCTCAGCTCTAACAAAAAGTTTTAGAAATGTTTTTGTAATTGTAAATTTAAAGATTCGTAAGATGAATTTTATTTAACCTCTCCTTAGTTGCTAGCTGTTACTATTATAATATTGGTGAAGCAGGGCATATTCCTCCCGGTTTGAAGGTTTGTAGCTTAAAAAGGCTATAAAAAGCTGTTCAGTTCAGTAGTTGGTTTTACATCTTAAACTATTATAGGACTCAGCAGAACCTCTGATAACCAAGAGAGCTTGCTACCTCCAACAAAATCACATCTACAGGCCCAAATAAAATGTATTTCAGCATGCTCAAGGAATTTGCATGTGACATACTTTAACAAATGAGAGTGCTGCTAGATTTTGTCTTTTAGAAATTTGATCTACTCCGGAGGCTGAGGTGGGAGGATTGTTGGAGCCTGGGAGGTCGAGGCTGTAGTGAGCTGAGGGCATGCCATTGCATTCCACTTTGGGCGGCAGAGTGAGACCCTGTGTCAAAAAAAAAAGAAAAATTTGATCTGGATACTTCAAAGTACAAACTTAAAATTTCAGTGTGAGGTCAGATTTCTTCTTTGCTTTGCCCAGCTCTGGTTTAGGATTCGACCTCTTCAGGTTTGCTAAGTGAGTTACTCTTTGTCTACCTGCTTTCCAGCACTGGCACCAGTACCTTATTGATGGAAATTTGTGAAATTTCTACTCATTTGCTATTACAAACAATGCTTAACAACAACAACAAAGTGTATATGTCATTTAAAAAGAAAATTTACAGGTAAAAATTCTTATCCAGACCAATGGAAAATGGTGCATGCATTAATTTTTTTTTTTAATTATATTTTCTTGTAGGCCTTGAGAGTAATGGCTAAAATTATGAGAGAATGTTGGTATGCCAACGGAGCAGCTAGGCTTACAGCATTGCGGATTAAGAAAACATTATCACAACTCAGTCAACAGGAAGGCATCAAAATGTAATTCTACGACTTTGCCTGAACTCTACTTTTTTCTTCAGATCTGCTCCTGGGTTTTAATTTGGGAGGCCAATTGTTCTACCTCACTGAGAGGGAACAGAAGGATGTTGCTTCCTTTTGCAGCAGTGTAATAAAGTCAATTAAAAACTTCCCAGGATTTCTTTGGACCCAGGAAACAGCCGTGTGGGTCCTTTCTGTGCACTATGAACGCTTCTTTCCCAGGACAGTTACAAAATGTTGTGTAGTCTACTTTTATTTTTTATTAACAAAACTTGTTTTTTAAAAAGATGATTGCTGGTCTTAACTTTAGGTAACTCTGCTGTGCTGGAGATCATCTTTAAGGGCAAAGGAGTTGGATTGCTGAGTTATAATGAAACATTTCTTCTTATTAAAGAAAGTGATTTGCTCCTGGTTAGTACATTCTCAGAGGATTCTGAACCACTAGAGTTTCCTTGATTCAGACTTTGAATGTACTGTTCTATAGTTTTTCAGGATCTTAAAACTAACACTTATAAAACTCTTATCTTGAGTCTAAAAATGACCTCATATAGTAGTGAGGAACATAATTTATGCAATTGTATTTTGTATACTATTATTGTTCTTTCACTTATTCAGAACATTACATGCCTTCAAAATGGGATTGTACTATACCAGTAAGTGCCACTTCTGTGTCTTTCTAATGGAAATGAGTAGAATTGCTGAAAGTCTCTATGTTAAAAACCTATAGTGTTTGAATTCAAAAAGCTTATTTATCTGGGTAACCCAAACTTTCTCTATTTTGTTTTTTGGAAGGGTTTTTGTGGTATGTCATTTGGTATTCTATTTTGAAAATGCCTTTCTCCTACCAAAATGTGCTTAAGCCACTAAAGAAATGAAGTGGCATTAATTAGTAAATTGTTAGCATGGTCATGTTTGAATATGCTCACATCAAGCTTTTGCATTTTAATTGTGTTGTCTAAGTATACTTTTAAAAAATCAAGTGGCACTCTAGATACTTACAGTACTTTAATATTTGTAGCATACAGACTAATTTTTCTAAAAGGGAAAGTTTGTCTAGCTGCTTGTGAAAAGTTATGTGGTATTCTGTAAGCCATTTTTTTCTTTATCTGTTCAAAGACAGTGTTATTTTTTTAAGAAATGAATTACATTTAAAATTAGAATATGGTTAATGTTAAATAATAGGCCTTTTTCTAGGAAGGCGAAGGTAGTTAATAATTTGAATAGATAACAGATGTGCAAGAGAGTCACATTTGTTATGTATGTAGGAGTAAACGTTCGGTGGATCCTCTGTCTTTGTAACTGAGGTTAGAGCTAGTGTGGTTTTGAGGTCTCACTACACTTTGAGGAAGGCAGCTTTTAATTCAGTGTTTCCTTATGTGTGCGTACATTGCAACTGCTTACTTTACGTGTAATTTATGTAATGCATTCAGTGCACCCTTGATATTTGGGAGAGGTGGTAGCTAAAGAACATTCTGAGTATAGGTTCTTCTCCATTTACAGATGTTTTTGGTCAAATATTGAAAGCAAACTTGTCATGGTCTTCTCACATTAAGTTGAAACTAGCTTATAATAACTGGTTTTTAATTCTAATGCTGTGAAGTCTCTGCAGAGCTTTTACAGTTTTCGAAGTCCTTTTATCACTGTGATCTTATTCTGAGGGGAGGAAAAACTATCATACCTGTGAGGCAAGACTTCGACTTTATAGTGCTATCAGTTCCCCAATACAGGGTCAGAATAACCGATACAGTATTTTGGTCAGGAAGAGAAAGTGGCCATTTACACTGAATGAGTTGCATTCTGATAATGTCTTATCTCTTATATGTAGAATAAATTTGAAAGACTATTTGGTCTTAAAACCAAAGTAATTTTAGAATGAGTGACATATTACATAGGAATTTAGTATCAATTTCATGTGTTTAAAAACATGGGAAAAATGCTTAGAGATTACTATTTTGACTACAAAGTTGAGTTTTTTCTGTAGTTACCATATTTCATTGAAGCAAATGAATGAGTTTGAGAGGTTTGTTTTTATAGTTGTGTTATATTACTTGTTTAATAATAATCTCTAATTCTGTGATCAGGTACTTTTTTTGTGGGTTTTTTTTCGGGGGGAGGGGGGCCATTTCTAAGCCTACCAGATCTGCTTTATGAAATCCAGGGGACCAATGCATTTTATCACTAAAACTATTTTTATATAATTTTAAGAATATACCAAAAGTTGTCTGATTTAAAGTTGTAATACATGATTTCTCACTTTCATGTAAGGTTATCCACTTTTGCTGAAGATATTTTTTACTGAATCAAAGATTGAGTTACAATTATACTTTTCTTAACCTAAGTGGATAAAATGTACTTTTGATGAATCAGGGAATTTTTTTAAAGTTGGAGTTTAGTTCTAAATTGACTTTACATATTATTGCAGTTAATTCCTTTTTTGGCTAGGGATGGTTTGATAAATCACAGTTGGCTAATATTGAAAATGAAGGTAACTTAAAAGGTGGGATGGATCATGATTACTGTCAATAACTGCAGATAAATTTGATTAGAGTAATAATTTTGTCATTTAAAAACACAGTCGCTTATACTGCCCATCCTAGGATGCTCACCTTCCAAGATTCAACTTGGCTAAAACATCTTCTGGTAAATTGTGTGTCCACGTTCATTTTGTCAATAGCCAGGAGGAATGGGAATGGGGATGGGGGAAATATGAATTAGTGGGGCATAGACATCCCTGGTCCATCCTTTCTGTCTCCAGCTGTTTCTTGCAACCTGCTCTCCGGCTTGCTGGTCCCTGACACAGAGACCATTGCCTCCCCCACAGCCTTTTGACTGAAGAGCAGCTTTGGAGACCTAGAGTAAAATGGCTGATGGAAGTTGTGGGACATATTTCCATTTCCTTTCGTCATTAGAGGTGGCAGGGAGGGATCTCTAAGTTTGGAGATTGAGCAGATGAGGCTTTGGATGCCCCTGCTTTGACTTTAGCCATGGATGAGGAGTGGGATGGCAGTAAGGTGGCTGCGGCAGTGGGAGTTGTGCCAGAAACAGTGGCCAATTGTATCCCCTATAAGACAGGGTAAGGTCTGAAGAGCTGAGCCTGTAATTCTGCTGTAATAATGATAGTGCTCAAGAAGTGCCTTGAGTTGCTGTACAGTGCCATGGCCATCAAGAATCCCAGATTTCACTTCTTATTACAAAATGTAAGTGGTCACTTGGCGATTTTGCAGTCCATGCTTGAGTTACCTTTTTTTTCTGTGTCTGAGAACTATCAGATACAGGCTGTTTCGTAAAACAAGATGGCAAAGAGATCATTAAAGTGCACAACAAAATCACTATCCCATTAGACATGTTATCCAAAGCTTATTTTTATTCTTGCACTGGAAGAATCGTAAGTCAACTGTTTGTTTCTTGACCATGGCAGTGTTCTGGCTCCAAATGGTAGTGATTCCAAGTAATGGTTCTGTTAATACTTCGGCGGAAAATGCCAACTCAGATACTTTGAGATACTAAGGATTATCTCTGGACATGTACTGCAGCTTCTTGTCTCTGTTTTGGATTACTGGAATACCCATGGGCCCTCTCTCTTAAGAATGCTGGACTTCTAGGACATTATGATATTATGATGATTGTCAGTACATTAAACTTTTCAATCCCATTATGCAATCTTGTTTGTAAATGTAAACTTTTAAAAATATGGTTAATAACATTCAACCTGTTTCTTACAACTTAAAAGGAACTTCAGTGAATTTGTTTTTATTTTTTAAAAAGGTTTGTGAACTGAATATCATGAACCATGTTTTGATATCCCTTTTTCACGTGCCAGCGGAATGGGGTGTTTGATGTTTCTTCATATGTCAAGGAGATGCTTCAAAATGTCAATTGCTTTAAACTTAAATTACCTCTCAAGAGACCAAGGTACATTTACCTCATTGTGTATATAATGTTTAATATTTGTCAGAGCATTCTCCAGGTTTGCAGTTTTATTTCTATAAAGTATGGGTATTATGTTGCTCAGTTACTCAAATGGTACTGTATTGTTTATATTTGTACCCCAAATAACATCATCTGTACTTTCTGTTTTCTGTATTGTATTTGTGCAGAATTCTTTTGGCTTTATCAGTGTAATCTCTGCCCTTTAAGATATGTACAGAAAATCTACATACAAATTTCCATTTAAGTCGAATGATACTGAGAAGCCTGTAAAGAGGAGAAAAAAACATAAGCTGCGTTTCCCCATAAGTTTTTTAAATTGTATATTGTATTTGTAGTAATATTCCAAATGTAAATAGGAAATAGAAGAGTGATGCTTATGTTAAGTCCTAACACTACAGTAGAAGAACGGAAGCAGTGCAAATAAATTACATTTTTCCCAAGTGCCAGTGGCATATTTTAAAATAAAGTGTGTATGTTGGAATGAGTCATGCCATATGTAGCTGCTGTAGATGGCAACTAGAACCTTTGAGTTACAAGAGTCTTTAGAAGTTTTCTAACCCTGCCTACTGCAAGTTACAATATTATAGCATGTTTGGGGAGTGTCCTCCTGTCTGCAGGTGTGTCTTTGTGCCTGGAGGCTCTTCTCCACATGCTTAGGGGTGTGGGTCTTCCAGGGGGGCATGATGGACCTGTCTACAGGTGAACTCTGTTGCCTTTGGGTCAGCACATTTGTTAGTCTCCTGGGGGTGAAAACTTGGCTTGACAAGAGAACTGGGAAAATGATGAGATGTGGTCCCCAAACCCTTGATTGACTCTGGGGAGGGGCTTTGTGAATAGGATTGCTCTCACATTAAAGATAATTACTTCAATTTGAAGGCTGGATTTAGGGATTTTTTTTTTTTTCTTTATAATAAAGACATCACGAGGATATGGAGCTTTTGTTGAAAGTTGGAAAAAAAGTGAAACTAAAGACATTCCCAGACAAATATTAAGATAATTTGTTGCCTATGGACATCTACCTTACAAGAAATACTAGATCCTTCACACAGAAAATAAATGACACCAGATGGTAACCTGAATCCACAGGATGAAATGAAGAGCACCAGAAATAGTGGATATGTGTACAAATAGAAAAGACTATGTATTGCTGCCATAAATTACTACAACTGTCCTGGCTTAAAGCAACACCCATTTATGATCTCAGAGTTCGTAATTCAGAAGTCTGGGCATAACATAGCTCAAGATGGTTCTCTGCTCCATATTTTAAAAGGTCAAAATGAAGGCATTGGCTTTGCAACATTCTTTTCTGGAAGCTGGAGATGAATAGGCTTCCAAGCTCATTGAGGTTGTTGGCAGAATTCAGCTCCATATGGTTGTAAGACAGGTTGGCCAGGGGTGGTTGTCAGTTTCTAGAAGCCACTCACATTGCTTGGCTCATGGTTCCCTCCTCCGTCATCAAAACCAGCAACAATGGGTTGAATCCTTGAACTTCTCTCTGATCTCCCCTTCTGCCTCATATCTCCACTGTCTCTTCCACTGCATCTCTCTGATGCTTCTGCTTCCATCTTCAGCTTTTAAGGGGCTGTGTGATTACTCAGGGCCCATCTGGATAATCCAGGATAATTACCCTAATTAGTAACGTCAGTTTTACCTTCGAAGTCTATTCACAGCAGTACCAAGATCAGTGTTGGATTAAATAGAGAATGGAAATCTTGGGGAAATATTTGCCTACCACAATACAAGTTTTCTTTCAATAGCATAAGACTATATAGTAATTATAACACCATACTGTTGGGTTTACAGTATAGGTGCAGTGTGTATTAATAACACAAGGGAGTAGGTAGGAAATGGAGCTCTATTGGGACAAAGCTGTATTTTAGTAGAATTAATTATTCCTAATTTGAAGACGATTGTAATAAATTGAAATGCATACTGTAGACCCTGGAGTAACCGCTAAAGCATCAATTTTAAAATATATTAAAAAAACAAAATGGTACACCAAGAAATATTTAACACAAAAGGCAGAAAGGGACAGAGAAGCAAAAGGATAGACGTTTGGAAAACAAATACCAAAATGGCAGCCATAAGTAGTAATGCCAATAATTTCATTAAATGTGAATGGACTAAATAGTTAAAAGGTAGAGATGGTCAGGATGGATTTAAAAAGAAAAATGAACTACATGGTGTTCACAGAGGCACACTGTAGATTCAAAGACCAATAGCTGGAAAGTGAAAGTATGGAAAAATATATAACATGCAAACAGTAATTGCAAGAGAGCTGGAATGTCTATATTAATACAGAGGGATGAGACAAGAAATGTTACTGGAAATGAGGATGCTTTAAAAAGCCAATGTATAAAAAGCCAATGTATCAGATGTAACAGTTATGTATATGCACCTAACAGAACCCGAAAATAATGAGAAAAATGATAGAATTGAGAGGAGAAATGGACAATTTAATGTTTGGAGATTTTGACACCTACTATAATTGATAGAACGACTCAATTGAAAATCACAGGCATATAAAAGAATGCTGTCAGCCAAATTGTCCTAACACCACCACCCACCACCAACAGAATGCATCCTCTTTGTTAGTGCACATGGAACATTCTCCAGGGGAAACCACATGCTATTTCATAAAAGAAGTCTCACTGAATTTAAAAGGGTTGAAATAGTAGAAAGTATGTTCTCCAACCATGTTTAAATTAAATTAGAAGTCAACAAAGAAAATTGCAAATCCCAAAATATTTAGAAATTAAATCACACATTTCTAAAAACCCATGTATTGAAGAAGTCACAAAGAAAGTTCTAAAATTTTAAATGAAAATGAAAGTACAGCATGTCAAAATTTATAGTGTACAGCTAACGCACTGCTTAAAGGGAAATTTACACTTTTAAATACCTATACTTTAAAAGTATTTAAAGCCAGTGGGGATAGATGCAAAAACCCTTAAAACACAATATTAGGAAACTGAATCCAACAACAGATAAAATAATTTGTACACCAGGACCAAATGGGTCATATCCTAGGACTGTAAGCTTCGTTTAACATCAAAAAATCGAAGTATTATACCATACTAATAGAAGAAACAATAAAATCCTTATTATTATGATAACTAAATAGCCACAGGAAAGAACATTTGACAAAATTCAGCACCCATTCGTGATGAAAACTCAGAAAACTAGAAATAGAAGGCAACTTCCTCAACCTAGTGAAAGGCATCGATAAAAATCTCACAGCCAACATACTTGATGGTGAAAGACAGAATACTTTTCTCCTTAAATCAGGAGCAAGTCGAGAACATCCTCTCATCATTTCTATTCAATGTTGTCATGGAGGTTCTATCCAGTCCCTATTCCCTCTCCCTACAAAAAGACTAGAAAGACATTAGGTTGGGGAAAAAAGTAAAACTGTCTTTATTAAGTAATATTACCTGTCAGATTCTAAAGAATCCACTGGAAAAAAATTTTTTTTAAAAGCTACAAGACTGGCCGGATGCGGTGGCTCACGCCTGTAATCCCAGCACTTTGGGAAGCCAAGGCAGGCGGATCACGAGGTCAGGAGATGGAGACCAATCCTGGCTAACACTGTGAAACCGCGTCTCTACCGCAAATACAAAAAAATTAGCCGGGCGTGGTGGTGCGCGCCTGTAGTGCCAGCTGCTGGGGAGGCTGAGGCAGGAGAATGGCATGAACCCGGGAGGCGGAGCTTGCAGTGAGCCCAGATCGCGCCACTGCACTCCAGCCTGGGTGACAGAGCGAGACTCCGTCTCAAAAAAAAAAAAAAAAAAAAAAAGCTAAGAGACCTAATTCAGCAAGCAAGGTTGTAGGATACACGATCAATATTTAAAAATTGACATTATATTAGCAATAAACAGTACCTTCGAAAGTAAACTAAGAATAGCGTCAAATAGAATATAGTAAACATTTATTTAATTGAAAAAAATACTGCCGAGAGAAATCAAAGGATCTACGTAAATGAGAACTTCCATGCTCATGGATTAGAGAATTCAACAGTGTCATGATGGCAATTCTCCCCAAATTGTTCTATAGATTCAACTCAATCCCTAGCAATATTCCAGAAAGATTTTTCTTTACATTCATAAGCTGATCCTAAAACTTACATGGAAATGCAAAATGTCTGAAAGAGCCTAAATGATTTTGAAATGGACAAAATTAGAGGAATTACCTTACCCAATTTCAAAACTTACTGTAAAGCCACAATAATCAGGACAGTGTTTATTGACACAAGGACAGTCAGTCAGTCATATGCAGCAATGGGACAGAATTAAGAGTCCAGAAATAAGCCCCCACAGGCGACCAACGGACTTTCAAGATATGCACAAAGATAATTCAACAGGAGAAAAGACAGTCATTTCAATAAATGGTGCTGAGACAATGGGATATCTGTATTTTAAAAGGAGGGAAAAAAGGGAGAAAGTTAATTAGACCCTCAGCTCATTATGCACCTGAAGGTAAGAGCTAAAGCTATACAACTTCTAGAAGAAAACAGAAGAAAATCTTTGTGATGTTAGGTTAGGCAATGATTTTAATAGGACTTCAAAAGCAAAATGTATTAAAAACCAGTTGATAAATTGGACTTCACAACAATTAAAATATTTGGGGCTTTAAAAAACAAGAGAATGAAAAGATGAGCCAAAGACTGGGATAAAGTATTTGCAAATCATACATCTGATAAGAGATTTGTATTTAGAATGTATAAAGAACTCTTACAATTCAATAAGAATACAAATGGCCCAATTAAAAACTGTTGAACAAATTCATTGCTCAGAGATTGGGGATGGTAGAGTTAAAATGTAAAATAATGTTCTAAATTCTGTATTTGGGTATTAATGTTTAAATGGTAATTTGGCAACAGTTGATAAAGTGAGGTTCTGAATGCCATGAATTATGTGTAGGGCTGTGACAAAAAAAGTAAAAATAAAAATTGGTCAAAAGATTTGACATTTTCCCAAGAAGATATGTGAATGGCTAATAAACATAATTCTTTATAAAGACTTGATGAAATTAAAACCACAATAAGAAACCACTCCTCACACACTCAAATGATTATAGTTTTTAAAAAGACAGATAGCCAAGTGTCAATAAAGATGAGAAAAAGATGAATCTCACACATTGCTGGAATGTAAACACTCCCTTTGGAAAACAGATTGCAGTATCTTAAGAGGTTAAATAGAAACCTATTATGTAACCCAGTAATATCATTTCTAGGTATCAGTAGAGGTGCCAGATAAAATACAGGAGGCCCAGTTAAATTTGTGTGTCAGATAAAAACAAACACTTTTTTAGTATAAGTTTGTCCAAAATATTGCATGGAACATGTTTATACTAAAAACAGTATTGTTTATCTGACATTTGAATTTAATTCGGCATCCTGTATTTTAACTTGCTAAATCTTGCAACTCTAATGCAAGAAAAATTAAAACATAAGTCCACACAAAGACTTGTAGGTGAATATTCACAGCAGCATAATTCCTACTAGTCAACAATGGAAACAAGCTAAATGTCCATCAACTGGTGAACTGATATTTAAAAGGTGGGGTATTTATACCATGGTTTACAAGACTGCTTGATTCTTGTTGCAATGTGGATGACCTCAAAGCCCTCAAGCTAAGTGAAAGAAGTGGGATGAAAAGGTTGCAAAAAGGCACGAGGGAACTTTTTTGGGATGATGGAAATTGAGGCAGGAGAATAGGGTCTGGAGGCAGGGAACCTAAGGCTCTTTCACCCTGACTTCCTAGAACTAAGTTGAAAGGAAAACCCTAACTTTCCACGCCTAAGTAACAAAAGGACGGAGGCTGCAGATGGGAAATCTGTCTGCAACAAATCAGACTGAGTACCAGTGGAGTCTTCGTTTGCAACTTTGGGACTTAACTACAGCCTCTGAATGGTTGCCGTCCACAACCAATCAGACTGATTGTGGGCTGAGTCAGTCTTCATTTGCACAGAAGTATAACTTTGTAAC